AAATTATTACATTATATATTAGTTTTAGTTATGTTATAAATTGACGTTTACATATTATCGTGATCGTGTTAGGAGTTACAAATTATATTAATTGAACGTTAGATAATATCATGTTACGAGTTACAAATTATTATGTTACATCCTAGAATTAATTATCTTAATTTAACATGTTCTAAAAATTGTACTATATAGCAGAAGTCATGGGAAGATTTTGGAGGAGATGGTGTTGATTACAGTGAGCGTTTCGATACATCTTCATTCTATAGTAGTGCTCAGGAGGCTATTGAAGCTGCAAAACACCAGGCAATGCTGAATGGTTTCCAATTAATTATTTCGAGCCACAAAAAGAAAACGGTCAGAGTTTTGAAGTGTCATAGAGGCGAACGGTACAGAGGCACAGGCGGAAATTCTAGAAGGACAAAAACGAATAAGTGCGGTTGCAATTTTGAGATCAAAGTAAAAAAGTTGTCCGGCGCACCATACTGGAGGATCTGCAGATGTAGCAATGTAGAGAAAGGCTACCATAACCATACATTTGCTGTGTATCCTGAGGGTCATAGCCAGTTGAGCGGTCTCAGCGCTTCATCTAAGAGAATTGTTCGTGAAATGACGGACGCTCAGGTGGCCCCGAAAAAAATTATGGCCGCGCTGAAGGAAAAGAATCCGGGAGACAACGTTCATGTGCGGCAGGTATATATATTTATATCTTGTAATATATGTTTTAATTATTTTTTTAAGTTAATTATGATAATTAGTAATTTTTTATATGTAAAAGTTATTGTAATAAATAATAAATTTTATTATATTTAGTAATGTATTACTATTGTGATAGTTAATAATTTTTTTATCAAATTAATCGCATTAATATACTTTTTTATTTATTAATATAATAAAATTTTTGTTTTAAATTATAATAATCATTATAATTAACGCTAATCGGTGACAGGTATATAATTTTAGAGATAAGCTGCGGAGAGAGGATTCCGACGGTAGAGACGTTCCTACTCAGCTTATGCATTTGGCCGTGAGCAGCCAGTATACAGTTTATGTAGAATCCGATCCGAACACGAAAGTGCTGACGCATATATTCATGGCCCATCCTGCGTCGATCAATCTATTCCGGACATATCACTGGTATGTCGGTATAGATTCCACGTATAAAACCAACAGGTATGTTACTTTATAAATACTTTATTAGTATGAATCTTAAATAGTGTGTTTGATTAAGTTAAGTTTTATGTGCTTATATTTTTTGTCTTCTTGGTTACATTTGCACAGGTACAAGATGCCGTTTGTCGAGATGATTGGGATGACGTCGTGCAACCAGAACTTCCTGATTGCGTATGCCCTCATCAGGGACGAGAAAGAGACCAGTTACGACTGGGTTCTAGAGAAGTTGAGACTACTGATAGGCCAAAGCGTATATCCTTATGTTGTTGTCAGTGACAGAGAGTTGGGTCTACTCACTCCTATTCAGAGGCATTTTCCTGAATCAGCCCACTTACTCTGCACGTGGCACATCAACAAGGATGTGGAAGCCAGAACCTACCA